AAAAAAAAACCCCCCCCCCCCCCCCCCCCCCCCCTCCGTCGTGCTTCACCACCCCCACTCCATCGATAATAAATTTTCCGAACCCGCCTTAACCACCACAAGAAAGGCGCGCATTTTCATCCCAGTTGAGAGAGCACCGCCATGACAAACACCATGATCAACACAAGAGGCGAACAAAAACAGGGGAAGCAGCGGCCGCGCTTCGCCACCCAACTACCTACCGTGGGAGCGATGGAACTACCGAGCAAATGTACGTGCTTGGTCGTCGTGAGAGTTCGCTTTATACATTCCACTTCAATACACGGGCAGAATGACGTGCGATTGAATGTGTTCGCCGTTTTTGGAGATTGAGTGCATTTCAACATTTCAACTGCTACCCCCATGGGCTAACGTAAGGCTTGGTACACCGGCAGACTATTGTTGCTGCTGCTGCTGCTGCTGCTGCTGCTGCTGCTGCTGCTGAGGTTGCTGAGGTTGCTGCTGAGGCTGCTGCTGCTGCTGAGGCTGTTGTTGCGCCCCTCCGCTTTGAGGACGTTGCTGCTGGAGCTGCGGAGCATACTGAACGTGATACTGCAGTGGCAACATAGGGGGGGGGGCAAACAGGGGCGGGGCTTGTTGCAGCTGCAATTGCTGCTGCTGCTGCTGCTGCTGCGGCTGCTGCTGCGGCTGCTGTTGACGGTATCCTTGCAACTGGAGGTGTGGTGGTGGCGGCGGCGGGGGGGGCAGAAAGCCTGTTGGGGGTTGATGCAGTCGAGGTGGGGGCAACACGGCGGTTGGTTGATGTTGTTGTTGCTGTTGCTGCTGTTGTTGCTGCTGCTGCTGCTGCTGCTGCTGCTTCTCCTGCTCCTGCTTCTCTTGTTCCTGCTTCTTCTGCTGCAGCTTCTGCTTCTGCTCCTGCGAAACGCGGCGATGTCGTTGGTGCGCCGCGATCGTGAAGGGCGTCTTTGAAGGCGCCAGCGGCTGCAAGAAGCCCACCACCGCGTCCTTCCCTTGCATCGCGGCCAGGTCCACGGGGAGGTTCCCGTGCGAATCCTTCACGGCAGGGTCCGCCTTCCGCTCAGCGAGGTCCTTCACGAGGTCAAGCGCGCCGCAGTAGGCGGCGGCGTGCAGGCACGTCTCTCCCGCCGGCCGCTTGAAGTTCGGCGACACGCCGGCCCGGATGAGGCCGACGATCGGCTCGGTGTCGCCCAGGCGGATGGCTTCGTAGATCGCGCGCTCCATGCGCTTCTCGAGCACGCTGGTGCCGTCCTTGTTCCTGCCGATAGGGTCGCGAGGGACAGACGGAAAAACAAGAAAAAGACAAAAGGGTCGAGAGGGGTTGGCTCAGAAAAAATAGCCCCTCAGTGTATTGCAGGGGCGCCACGGATGAGTAAACGGGGGGCGGGGCGGAGGGGGGGGGCTCCACGTCCATTACTCTATCTACGCAAGTTCATGGTAGGGTTTGCGTCTTGCAGTGACTATCACGCCGAAGCATGCAAGCAACCGGAACGGATGGCGTGTTAGATTGAAGAGGGACAGCTTTTGTCAAAGAGTACACAAAAGTCTCCTCGACAACGCACACACATGCCGGTCTATTGAATGTTCCCCAAAATACAACTATAATACAGTACACAGGGTATTTGTGGAAGAGGTCGGGCTTGGCGAACCGCAACTAAGAATTTTGTTCACTACAGCAGTCTTGTCACACACGTGGAAAAAAAACGATAAACCCGGAGGGAACAGTTATCTTATTGGCCCCCTTTGCATGCCATGCTCTGGGATTTTCTACGTTTGTCGAAGCAAGGACTGAAAAAAACGCACAGCGAGATTCACTTCCTTTCCGTGTTATCTATCATCCGTCGCTCGCTGCTACTCGATTGCATGACACAACAGATGAAAACATGTTATACAACCAACAGACTTGAGATTTCACGTGGGCACGACTTTGTTTGCCATACACACGACACAAGGTAGTGAACGCCGCTTTGGACGGTTTCGAGGTATTCAGCACGACCGAGCCAGGAGCGCACAACGCCGGTATACACCATACACACGCCTGCCTTGCTACAAAACCACGCACGGTACACAGCAGTAGAGTAGTACATAGATACATACCTCGTCATAGTCTTGGGGTACTCTGGCCACTCTCTCTCATCCGGCAACGCCTCCGGCGGAGGCGAGAGCCGCCGCGGCGGCGTGTTGTTCACCGCACCCTCCACGCAATCCCTGTTCCCCGCGCGGAAGCACTCCATGCACTTCCCACAGGCCGTGCAGATGCGCACGAAGTCCTTCCCGCAGACGGCGCACACCTTCCTGCTGCCCCCCAGCTGAGGCCGGAACTTGAACTCGTGCGGCCACTCGCCTCGTGTGTCCCGCCGCGAGACCCCGCCCGGCTTGTCGTCGTCGTCGTCCGAAGAAAAAACCGGAGCTTCCTGCGCCGAAGGCTCCGCGTCCGACACCCGAACCGTCAGCTTTAGGCCGCCGCCGCCGCCGCCCTGGGATGGCTTCTTCAACCCTCCACGCCGAGGTTTTCGCGGAGCCGCGGCGGCAGGTGCCGGGGGCGGCACAAACGTCGGCGGCCGTGGTGGCGCCGTCGGCGCCATCGGCATCGGCAACGACAAGGGAATCGCCGTAGATGGTGCCACCGCCGCCGCCGCCGCTACCGGCGGCGGCGTGAAGAGCGGCGGCGGCGGGGGTCGCAGGATAATCGGTCCTGCCGCCGCCCCTAGCGTCGTGCCCGGGACCGTGACCGTCATGCCCGGTTGAACGACAAATTGCGGCTGCTGCTGCGGCAGCTGCTGCTGCGGCGGCAGCTGCTGCTGCTGCTGCTGCCGTGGCGGTTGGGGCACCGCGTACATCAGCCGAGGGGGTCCGTGGGGTGGGTGAGGCAGCGACAAGAGAGGCCGTGAGGGGGGTGCGGGCGACGCCGCCGGGAGAGAAACGAAAGAAACCCCTCCGGCGGCGGCGGGGGGGGGAGCACGCGGCGGAGGGGCCCCGTAGCTCGGCTGCAGCTGCTGCTGAGGCGGCGAGGACGGCGAGCCCCCCGGCGCGGTGGCGGCGGCTTGGGCGGCTGGCGAGGGAAGAGCCAGAGACGGGGGTCGCCGCGCTTGCCGCCAGTCTTGTCCCGCGGACGATGGGCTCTGAGGGCTGGTGGCGCTACCGTCGCCCCCTCGCTCCGGCCGCCGGGCGGATTCGGCGGTGGCGGCGGTGGCGGCGCCGCGAAACCCTCGTGGGTCACGACCGCTCCTCGCGGTGTGCTTGGCGGGGCCCCTCGGGGGCGACAAGCTGGACTGCTCCCGGCCCCTCTTCCCGCTTATGCTCGGAGGTCGTGTCGGCGAGCCGCCGCGGCTGCCGTCCCAGGTGCTGCTGCTCCTGTCCCCGTTCGCACGGCCACCGCCGCTAGGAGATCGCCGATCCCCCGCAGCCGCCGCCGCCGCGGCCCCGGCCCCGGCTGCTGCGCGGGGTTGCTCCGACTTGGGACCCCCTTCAGTCGTCTCCTGCCAACACCACTCGCCTTCCTCTATTTCTTCATCGGCGGCTGCTGCTGCTGCTGCTGCACTAGCCGTGCCCCGTTCCGGACTCCTCTCCGCGATCTCACTCCGCCTGTCGTTAAATGCTGCTCCGCTCTCCTCGCCCCTGGCGACGGCCAAGGGCTTAGCTGCTGCGGCTTCCTCCTCCCCCGCCTCCCCCTCTTCTATCTCCTCCTTCTTACTACTGCTGCTGCTACGGCTGCTACTGCTGCTGCTGCCTGACTTTTCTGCTTCTTTGCCGTTTAGTGCTGCCGCCCTCCCCGCCGCCGCCGCGCTGCCGGCGCCGGCGCCGCCGCGCCCCGGAATGGAGGTTCGGAGATTCGAAAGATCGAGTGACCCTCGTCCCGCCCCTCTCCCTACCCCAAACCCTCTTCCTCTAAACCTCCCGCCCCCTCTCCCTCGCCAGATGCCGGAAGAAACCCGGGCCGTCTCCCGGGCCGCCGGCGCCTGCTTTCCCCCCGCATTTTTCGCGCCCGACAACGAGCCAGAGCCGCCGCCGCCGCCGCCGTTCGGCTGCTGCGCGAACCCGCTGAGAGAATTTCCGCTAGCCGGATACGTTCCGCGTGAGGTAGGCCGGCCGCCACCGCCGCTGTCACCGCCGCCGCCGCCGCCGCCGCCGCCGCGGTCGTCGTCAACGACAAGCAGCGGACGATGCGCCAACCCATCGGTGGCGCCGCCGGCAGGAGGAGCAACAGCACGGAGAGGAGGGGAATAACTTACGCTTCCTCCCGCTGGATGTTGGTTGGTCGCTCGATTGTCGGCGGGGGGGGGCGCCGGGACTCGGTTGGCTGCCCATGATGCCACCGTCGCCGCCGCCGCCGTTGGGTACGGTTCCGCCGCTTCGTTGGAACAGTGCCTGCTGCTGTCATACACTGGGTGAGGAGGAGGAGGAGTGTGCTGCTGCTGCTGCTGCTGTTGCTGCTGCTGTTGCTGCTGCACATATGGAGCCTGCTGGAGCTGGTGCTGGTTGTGGGCGATTGCCAAGCTGTTGGTGTGCCCGCCTACGCCCGCCAGGGTGTTGACGCCCCCGCTCCATGATGCCGCGGCAGGGTGGTGCTGAGGATGGGGTTGATGCTGCGCTTGTTTCAACTGCTCCCAACGCTGTTCGTTGCCCCCGCTAGTGGCAGCAGCACCGCCTCCAGAAACGAAATGTTGCTGTTGCATCCGTGTGCTTCCCCGTAAAAGGGATCTACAATCAACGTCAGGTAGCACGCGGAACAGCGAGGTACGGCAAAAAGAACGAGGGAGCGGTGAAGGGATCGTTACGAGCGCTACACCCCTATCTATTTCTTCCGCCCTGTCATCTTGGCAGTTGTCTAGATTTCTCCGCAACGAACAACACACATCAGAGTTTACGATCAGCCAGACGCGAGCTACACATGAACGGGGATGGTTTGGAAGAAGCGAGAGTTACGCATACGGGCGGCACTAACAGAGAGTGTTCGCTGTAGGGCGGTACAGCAGTCAAAGACCAACATCAAGGCGGCCGGGCAAGGCTCGACAAACTCCAGGGCCCAAAACGTGTCACAAACATCGCACACACCCATCACGAACAACCAGCGAAAAATGCGAGATATGTCCAAGAACGGGATGGTTCGAGCGGTGCTACAGACCACAGAGAGGGGTCACTGTTGGGCAGCAAAACTATCCACAGGCGGGCGGGCAAGGCTCCACACACGCTTAGCTCAAAGACACACACTCTTAGCTCGAAGATGTGTGGGCATGTGAGAGGTGTGTGTTCATACATCACGCATCAAAGCTCTATTTCCCGAAAAACAGCAGCAACACACGAGGATGCGCGCGCGAAAAAAAAAAAATGAGTCTCTCTTCTCCGCGAACGAACTAACAAGGCTCGCTGATGAACCTATGATGAGACAGGAAGGAAGATTAAGATGGGTCCTCGCCCGCCCCCAAGGTCTACCAGAAAGCGTGTCTGTGTGTGTGTGAGTGAGAGGGAGAGAGAGAGAGGGTGTGTGGGTGCGGGTGACCTACCGCCGCCGCTTGCGCCGCCGCTGCCGAAGGTCGCCTTGCTTTCTCACTGCTTTGCTCTCCGGGCGAAACAGAGAAGAAAGAACGTCACTCAGAGAGAGAGAGAGAGAGAGAGTAGCGCAGGAGACAGGAGACACCCAAAGGAGAGAGAGACACACACAGGGACAGGGGACGACTACCACACAGCTACCGCACTACGGTCTACTCGAACCTTCCGGATAGATGAGCCACACACACACCGCGAAGGGTATGCGGTTGTGTGGGCAGGGGTACTGGTCGCGCCTGCCTGAAAAGAGTGGATGTTGGTTGTGTTGTGTGTGCAGGCGGAGAGAGGAGAGGGCGGGCGTCCTCTTTAGGGCTCAAGAAAAAAGAAAAAAAGCAAGGGGGAATAATTGACAAAATGGGGTATACCCCGCGTGTTCAGGCACAAACTGGGGTATACTTTTTTCGGTGTGGGGCGCAACGCCTGACGCCGGGTAGGCGCCATTAATAAACCGCCAGGGGGTACACCCCGCTGTCTGCTAAAAGTTTATCTAGGACCCCATTCTGTTAACAAACAAACATACACGATAATTTTCAGTGACGACACCAAAAAACAAACCGCTTCGGGCGACGCCTAATAAAGAGGAGGATATCATTTGGATTGTGTATAGCCGCACAGGACTTGGATGTGATGTATCGTATGTCCCGGCCTAGCGTGAAAAATACCACGTCGATATCTAACTACTACTGCTTGAGCTGCGTATGTACGCAAGAACACGGGGTGGCATCATACTCTGTACACAACAACAACGAATAGTAGTAGTGAGGCAAAGAGAGCACGCTCATTAGCGATTGGTATTTACCATGCCAACCAGGATTTTGCGTGCAATATAGGCAGTTTTGCTCATGGTTTCAGAAATAAGAAAAGAAACATGTGTTTGTGTGTGTGCAATGATTAATGTAAAAGGAAGGGTCGAAGACAACCAACAGCAAAACACGCATTGTGGAATGCACCACACGTCGTCTTTGGAGATCAATGGCGAGGAGGCATCATCAGTAAGAACTCCACTCACGTATCGTATTGTGTAGACTACGCAGAAAAGAAAGACCGAAACTCACTGCCCTTTCTTCTGCATCAAACACGATAAGATTCAATGTGTTCCAGGTGTCGTCGCTTATCGGGTCTATCCTTTACCCTCTGCGCGACGAGTACGAATGTAGGCTACTGTATTTACTTCGAAGCGGGGTCTGTCTCTCCCTGTTGGTCACGATCTATCTGTCTCCACCACCCATCCACCCTTCCTTGCTTGCTTCCGGTATTTCGTAGCCCACACAGCATACCTCATATATCTATGTTTGCGCTGGCTTACACACTATCCCGTGTCCCTGACGACACCCACCCCCCCCGGCGACTACAGCGCAAAGGCCCGCTCACAAATTGTATTACCCAGCAGCAGCGCCCTTTCAAAACCACCGCATGTATAACCCCGACGACATTTGATAAAAGTACATCACACAACGAGCACGCATCGTCCTCCTCGACCAGACGAATCGACCACACAACGCTGCCTCTTCACGCCCCACCCAGTAGAATTCACATCGACTTCACACCGCTTGCCCGGTATTGTTTTGCGCTTGCTTGATCGGGTATAAAAAGAAAACAAGAAGCCCGATCACCGCGCACCGGAAGCTCGGCGAACATGCCGACGGGGCACAAAGCAAACAAATCGACAGAACGCCTTCGTCTACGGTTAAGCATTTCAAACTTACCCACAGATTTGAAGTGGCTCTATCACAAACAGGACACGGCGATTCTTCTGCGTCAACACGGAGACAGACGCAAGCCAACAGTCGATGTTCACCAATCCGGCGCATAAACAAGACGAAGCATGAAAGCAAGACCGCTGAGCATGTCCTCTCCACATGCATGCCTCTCTGCAGCTAGCCTTCTTCGCTCTGGCCTTCATCCTCACAGATATCTCACTCTCATGGATGAATGAAAAAACACTGCAATAAAAGTAACCGCTTCAGGAAATGGGATAAATCCAGTCGCGTCTAGCGTCTAGCGTAAGAACGGTTTCCGTTCCATTCCATTCCATTCCATTCCATTCCATTCCATTCCATTCCATTCCATTCCATTCTATTCCATCACCCGTCCGGACAAGCTCGCTCTACTCCCGCCGCCCCTCGTCTCCGGCATGTTTTTTTTCTTTTTTTCTAGCAGACGACCCATGCCTATTATCCATCCTTTGCGAGATTGATCGATGCTATCCGCTGCCTCGGAAACATGGTGCATCTCGAGTCCAAAAGAAAGGAAAAACATCCGACTTTCATGGGAGGAGCGAATTTTTCCGCTGTGCCCCCCGCCTCCCTTATGGCGGTGCTGTCGTCACCCTTTTCTGTGTTGTACCGTCCTCGCAGCCCCCTCCCCCCCGGGCCACTTGGAGGGTGCAATTCCACCCCTTCGGCCGACAGTCAAACCCATCCGGTGAACGTCCAAGTTCCTCCTGCCTCCTCCTCCCCCCCCCCCAAGTCTCTCGTCCGCGCCGCCCCCTGCACTTCCTTGCTTCCACCCAGTGGGTTAGTTACCCGCGAACAGGCAGCTCATTCTTCAGGCCCCTCGGCCGTATGATACTTCCACATCTATCTCTAGGTGTTTTTCGGTACACGCCCTGTAACTTTTTTACTCTCTTTATCGCGCCATCCCGTGCAACAGACAGACTACACAAGCGACTCCCCGGCCGCTCTTTTTATCTTGGGGAACCACTCTGTTAGGCGGCTGCTGAGGTTTCTGACGGCCTGGTCGAGGTCGTCGTTCTCCACTACCAGGTCAAAGTTACCCTGCACGTCAAGGAGCAAAGCATGGAGCATGCAGTACCCGTCAGGACAGAAAAATAAGTTGAGTACAGAGGGACATGGTATCCACAATAGTGAAAACTACTTCGTAGCAGTATCTGGCACTGTAGAAGAACATATCACACCATACTATCGTAACACTGAAAGATGACACCTGGTGCTTCAGACTTGCACGCATGTACCACGAAGGGGCCGGCTTGCAATGTCGACCAACACACCAACACTTTCAAGGACACACAGCCATGTACAGTACTTCTACTACTGTAGCTCTCGACGAGATGATGATGGTGATGATGATGATGATGTTCCCGAAACCACCTACCCTGTCTTCTCGGCAGTGGTATGTGTCCTCTAGGTTTTCGGGATCAATCGAGCTTTCAAAATCGATAGCGCACCTGCTGTGCGTTCGCTCGCGTAGAGCGAAAAATATTGTAACGTAACCTCCTGGTGCACCTGGTCCATACCGCATGTTGAGGTATGAATGTGGGTCCCTAGAAAGTGAGGAGACCGTGTGCGAACCTACGTCACGCGTCGCCAACCGTCCCGTCTCGCTTACGTGCAACAAGACATCGATGCCATACGTACTGTACTGTGGCTTAATTTTCCCACAAAGTGCAAGCCACCCAACAGCGCATGCCAATTCTGTGGGGAGAGAAAAACATGCCGGGGTGGGTGAGCAGTGCGGAACAAAAAACAACATTGAATCTTCGTTCCATGTTTACATACGTGCTCATGGGACCCAACTGCTGTCTCAGCTATTATGCAGTAGTCAGTCACCTGTGTTGTGCCGTAGTCGACTTCCTCCCGGGCGTTGTGTAACCGCGTCGACAGGGATTCCTCGCTCTCCGTTCCCCTATCTCGCAGACGATTCTCTAGCACCTGCAGACAGACAGAAACGAACCATTGCCCTTCCGACCCCTCTCGAAGACATCACCCATGACGCCAAGCTGCACCAGCCATGACATGGACTACAGTAGTATATACCTAAACGTCCTCGTCGACAACATCAACATCCATGACATGACTGACACCAACCGCCTCGATCGATCGACTGCCAAAAAAACACCCATCAAAGGAAGGAAGGGAGGGTGTAGATCGAACGCCTGTAAGACGTACTTACGTACCTCCATGCTAGGCGGTGCGATGAAGACGTACTTGGGCCTCAGCGGAGAGGCCTTGACGGTCTTGACCCCCTGAATGTCAATGTCCAACAAGCACACCTGAGGAGAGCCAAGTTACAGACAGACAGACAGACAGACAGACAGACAGACAGACAGACAGGCAGGAAGGCAGGCAGGCAGGCAGACAGAGAGACAGACAGACAGGCAGACAGACAGACAGACAGACCGAAAAGTTCAAGACGGAACACATAAACTACAGTAATATCCGACGGCGGGAAGCATGTTCGCAAGGGCCTAGGGCAGAGAGAGGGCGACGCGTACCGTTCTATATCCACAAGACCAGGTATGGGTTGCTGTCTTTTCTCGTATTTTTTTTGTCATCCCGTCTGTTGTCTACCTTGGCCTATCCCTATCCATGTGGCCTACCCCATTGGTTCAGCCACTCTATGATACATGTATCCAAGAGACGAGAAGAGCCGGGGCGTGTTTTTGGATATTACAGATAGCGTCCGCAGCTAGTTGAGATCTCGGCGGTTCAAGAACTCCATGCTCAACGTTTTGTCAAACTTAAGAAGTTGAGTACCATTTTGTGAGCCCTATTAAGAACCACTAGAACCTATATCGCGGCCAATTGTAGCCCACAAGAGGAACTACTGCTGTACGAACCTTAGCCTCGGCAAAAACCAATAGATAGAGGTCCTCTAGTGTCGTGTTGGCGGAAAAAAAAGCTAGCCGTCCCGTGGCCCATATGTCCCATGGCCACTACGCTTCCTTCTGGTTACGAAAACGCCACCCCCTACCCTTATCTCGCGACCCATGGAACTCCCACAGTGCATGTACATAGCCACAAGCCGGGGCTACGATCAGAGCACCGGCGGACACGGGGTTGGAGGAATTTTGGTTCAAATCAAGCGTATGACATGTGACACGGCTGCGGCACCTTCGGGATGAAGGGTAGATGGCGATAAGACGTTAAAGCTGGCAGTCTAGATGGACAAAGATAAACTAGGATTAGAATGCACCAACAGCTGAGAGACACCGGGGAATACCTACTGCTTGCTTTACCTGACCCTTCTTCGTAACGTCACCTACGGCAGCCACGCTCGTGCCGTAAAGGTTACCGTGCACCTGCGGAAGCGAGAAGCGGGATGCAATGCACACACGAAGGGAAAACAGGTGGTGGGTCTAGTAGGACAGCAGCCGCATGCAGACCCACATTTTCAACTGCTCTGCTTTGCACCCCGAGATTGGTTTTAAGGGCCGTACTTTACAGTAGCGGTACAGTAGCGCTTCAAACTTTACAAATCCCGACTCTTCAGATTTCCAATTTCTCGTTGTCACTCGTTTCCAATTTCGAAATTATTTCCAGTTTTTCCCCTCGGACTCAAATCGTGTTAAGGAGGCCCGGAAAGGAGATCGGCGGTTTCTTTGACACATTCAACAATGTACCCCCCACCCGTCAAATAACCCACGTATGTGTACCTCCGCATGCTCGATGAACTCTCCTCTCGCCACGGCCTCTCTCATGGCGTCGAGCGAGGTAAAGTGGTAGTGTACCCCTTCTTGTTCCCCCTCGCGCCGTCCGCGGGTCGTGTGGCTGCACCCAAAACCGAACTTTGATGCGGCGCAATGGCAAAGAACCAGACCCATAGACACGAAGAACGAAGAGAGAAAATTGTGGCGCCATAGCAACGACCCAAAAGAGAGAAAGGAACCAAGAGGGAGAGCAACAGGCCGAAGCACACAGACAAATGAACGGAAAGACAAGATAGAAACAAGGCATGAATGTTGATGGAGTGACCCCAGCCGCGATAAAACAAAACGCAGTAGTGCGGGGGAAACGACCCAGGCTCTTTATGTAGGCGATGCGGCAAGAGGACCCCAAGTTCGAGGCAGGTTTAGCCAGCTACCGAGAGCAGGCAGGTGGTGATGTGGGCAAGGAGGGAGGGTTTAGAAATAGAGTGAGTGGGCAGGGCGGTACCACTAGTCGTTCTCCCGCTCATGCCAGCAAGTGGCATCTGGAAGATCCCAGTTCGGCAGTGTTTCGGTGGTCATCCGAAGTCCCATGGTCCTCGAAACACGTCTAAGGATCGGTTCTTCTCAGCGAAAAACGGTCATCCTACGCTCCCAAAATTAATAATCCGACATCGACAGGGCGAGCGATCAACTCAAACTACCGTAAAGTCGAATACTGCCGTTGACCGATCTTCAAGGCTAGACTACCGACTATGGTACTCTGCAGCAGCGATAGCGACGGTGCCGGCAATGGCGGGAGGCATTGAAACCGTCTCGCCGAGAAATTTCAGAGGAGTGCATCGTAATTTGTTTTTGGCATCCCTCGCCATGGAGCAATCGAGGTTTAAAGCTCGGTCGAAATCGATGTGGTATCTCATGTTTCCCACCGTCAATAGTCCAATACCTAGTCGGACGCAAAACACCACCATGAGAGACTTTAGTCATGGTCGGGGGGGGGGCGGGGGGGGGTAGGATTTGGAAAGGGATGCTTGGGGAAACTACCTCTCGACCTGTATCTACCTGTTTCGTAATGCATGTCAAAGAAAGGAGATCGAAAAAAGGAGATACTACGTAAGTACTACTGTTGCAATACGTTCTTTGTAACAGTTAAGCTATGGACAGAAAGGTGCGACCGTCTTGTCGGTGACGTCACCTACCATACCTGTTGTGGGAATAATTCCATCAGCTTCCGGATGATGGTTCCCTTGCCGACGCCGCTTGGCCCTGCCACCACTACGGCGTCGACCCTGGTACGGTACGGTACGGTACGGTACGGTATGTCCAAACCGGCGCGGTTTGCTCAAACACACAAAAAAAAAAACATGGGTGCGAAGAGGACGACACGACTATGTTTGATCATGATCATCGCCACCAAGCACAATCAATGTCAACAACAATCCAAGCGGTAGCGCAACGGCAGGCACATACACTTCTACCGAGAAGAACAGAAGAACAGAGCAAGGCGGGGCTATCGGGGGGTCTCGCGAGCGGTGAGCGTTTGCACCGAATTTGACGGGACCGCACAACATGTCTCGTTGTCATCGTCATATGCTACACTATCATACGCAATACAACACATGTGTATCTGTTTTGATAGAATACCGACCGACTCAAGATAGACAAGAGGTCCGTATCGTACCCAATTGTCGGTCCAGGAGGTGTGTTATCTTGTGCAACCTACGGTAGCCCTCCATCGCGACAATCCATTTCTTTCAAACTATTTTCGAAAAAAAAAAACACAACGAACTCATCTCCATCTATCTTCCTATCCACAGACTAGAGTCCAGAACACATTGTATCAGTGATGAGTTCATGGTTTTGTAATCCTAACTCGATTGTGAGGGTCTGCTGTCGGGTGTAACGCAGCAGCACGCGCGGCTGCCGGAACAAAAAAACACCTAACAGTCACATGAAGCGAACGGGGACAATCAGCGTTGGCAACATCGTCACCGGCTTGCCTGTCAACACCGGCTCCGGCGAAATGCTGCCTGGCAAACTCGAAGACATCCTCCGGTTTCTGCTCGACAACGGCCCGAAGGAAGTCGTTGAGAAGGGACGCTACCTCCGGGTGCTCCTGAAGGTAAGCTTCCTGGTCTGCTCTGATGGTATTCTGATGCGGGGTAGCAGTCATTGTAGGAACTGATGTTTCCGATGTGGTGTAGCACTGACTGGTGGTATTCTGATGCGGGGTAGCAGTGATAATAGTAACTGATGGTTTTCAGATCACAATACTGACGCTATTCTGATGCGTGGTGCAGCAGTGACTTTAGGCACTGATGTTATTCTGATGTGTAGCAGAGCAGACAATCCCGTGTGATTTCGACAAGCTTCAAGTAGACTTGCGATAACATTGTAAGGGGGGCGACCCTGCTAATACGGTGCTTCGGTTCTGAGTAGTCTGCTGATGCTGGCCCTAGAGGCCTTCGTTCCGCCCAAATTGTATATTTTATCGTGACCTGTTTAGTGCGGAGTATTGGAGGGCTGGCGCCCTCCCGATCTCCTCGAGGTACACTTGTACTTGGAAGGTTTGATTCCGATGTGGATTCTTGTGTCTCTTTGTATGATAGATATGGGAACGACGTTTTTGGTCCACGAAGGATGTTTGACAAGACATGCTTTGAAGTAAGAAAGGGGCGGGCAATTGACAACAGAAGGAGCGCACTTGGCTTGGATACTGGGCATATCTCGAGTATTTTTACCGTACACTGCTGTGATTTTACTCAATGATGCCAGCTGGCGCTATTCAACATCTGTACAAAACATTCCCTGTAGCTCTCTACTGGGTCAACGACAAAACTATCGGAGAGAAACCCTCCTCGCGTTATTTTCGTCGAAAGTTCACTACGGCAAGATTCAACGCACTGCAGTTTTGTGCTTCGTTTTCTTGCATCCTGTGGCAAGCACTGCTGCCGAGTAGAAGCAGTAGAGGTACGGCGCCCTGCCGGCATTCATCACCACTTAGAAGCTGGGGTAGTCGAAGTCCAGCAGACAAATGAAGGTCGATCAAGGCTCGCGATCATTACTGCTGTAGACTACATAACTTGCACGGAGGTACGTTGTAACCCGTGTGTGTAGTCTGTCAACCAGTCAGTCGAAAACTAACATCGGTACATGAACCACAGCAGTCGTATCCCGCTCGAGAACATAACAGCAGTCTTCGCAATGAAATTCGATGGACATCTGCTCCATACTGGACTTAGTTGAGTTTCATCTTGCACGGAGAAGCTGAGAGGCTATATAGACTATGCTGTAGCGCTGCAGCTGTGCACTATTAAGGAATAATAAAAACACACACAGAAAGACTACCCATTCGAGATATACCCACAGTCGAACGGGATGTGGTGGAGTCTTTTCAGTGAGTGGAGGGAAACCGGCTGGGTACTGGACTTATTTCGAGTCTTTTTAAGTCTAACACTGGTGATTTATACCAGTGATGCCAGCTGGTGCTAAGTACAAAAACATCTGTATAGGTAACTTACATTTTACAATACATCCCTTGTAGTTCTCTACTGGGTAAACGGCAAAAATATCGGGGAGAAACCCTCCGTTGTGCCGTGTATTGTAAATTGTAACCTTCACAGGGGACACGGCGCAGTGTCTATAGTACTGCTGTTTGCATGTATGCAGAGACTCTCATCCCGAAGCGGCTTCTATTCCTCCGCATTTTTGTCAAGGCACCCGATCGGTTGTGTTCTGTGATGTGTCATGGACTTACGAAGCAACCTCAGGACAACGAAGCATTACATGCGTGTGGTTGTTTGTAGTGTGCGCTTGACGGTGAGCTCTGCTATGGCTGCGATTTCAACAAAAGACTGCAGGGACAGGCAGCAAAGAACATGGATCGCTGGCGGTGTGTTTGAGACCTCAATGAACACTGCTGTATATTCTCGGGGCTCCTCTTGGTTACTCACCCGCAGACCATCAAGCCTGGCTATCTCCTCCAGAACAGACTGATCAGCATCCGTAGCGTACGAGAGGGGGTCGACAACCTTGTCCGTCATAGTGCAGCAAATTCTTGCGGGAGGTACAGTACTGATAATCCAGACAGCGTTGATATCCGCCAGTTGGGGGGCCCGGCAGAGCGGTGGTTCCTCCCCCCCAACGATCCCCTACAGTATCGATCTTGGAATCGAGTTACATGATCATCTTCTTTGCACGGTCGCTGATGGTGATTACGGCGTTGATGACCGTTGTAAAGGGAAGTGATAAGTACTATCTCTGATGTACGTGCGACACTCGTTGTGATGTGCCCAATTTGTTGCCCGCACTGCTTCACGTTTGTTTGCATCCGAGCTGTCTGATCGAAGTTCCAATCTAGGGAACGTTCGAAATCTGACCCTCCCACCAGTCAAGGCGACTGATGCTAACAAGGGTTTTCTACACATCTGCTGCCAAGGGGGAAAGGTGGAAAGGCCCACCGCCTGGGTGGTCTTGGACCAACGTGATGTTGTGGAGCTAATGTACACCACCGAATGGACGGACCATTCCCAGCAAGCAAGACACAGGTGTTGCAACTCTACAGTACCTCACAGCAAGCAGTTGCTCCGGATGGACATGACCAAGTGTCACACCATGCTGCTCACGGGAGGGGCACATGGCTCGGCCACCTTGCATACTTCACATGCCCGGCAAACAGCAGCGGTGCACTGATGATTTAGCATCCGTGCCCATGACTTGCCCACCGTCCTCTTTCGAAGTCACTACGGGTGTTGCATCTTCATCTGTACATTGAACATCAAACAATATGTTGTACTCAATGTGTACAACAATCGCCAGGGAACAACCGGCTTAGCCGTACAGACAGACGTTTTGCGCACCGCATGGCGCTACGGCGATACATTTTCTGGAGCAGGAGTCTCTTCGCGAACCACTCCTCACGCCCCCCGGGGAAAAACTTAAAACTTCTTTCAACTCTCGTCCACCAACATAGCAACCCAATTGTTGGGACACCAAAATGGTGATGTACTTGATACAGCTGCTTGTTCGGCCGCAGAGCAAGTGGCGATGAAAATCTTTGACGATGACGTGGACATCAACATCAGTCGGCACTAGGGCGTCTGAAGAAACTCCTCCAAGTGCGTCACGGCATCCTGGGTTAGGACCAAGTTCGGTCGCTTGATGATGTCGTGCACATTGGCTCCCTGAACACGACAAGAAACGTGCGCCGCGTGGGAGAGCGGTGGGTGGGGAGAGGGACGCGAGATACGGCAAGGCGCTAAGTGTAATTGGCAGCGACAGCAATATAGAACATGACGCTACCGCAGTTGATCAATCGATGGCCGTTGGCTAAGCGCAAACAGGCAAACAAAGTTTCAGGCCGAAATTCTATCAATCGCTGCCGGAAACAATACATGGAAACTAGAGGAAAAGGGTAACCCCCCCCCCCCTACACATTTATTCCGCATGGCCATTAGAAACGAGTACACCATTACCGTACCACACGGGGTGCGCGCTGGTACCAAGCTTTGGGCACAGTACTCACACGGCGGCGTGCGGACTCCGGCACAACGGAGGCTATTTTTTACAAGTACCTAACCGCGGCGAAAATTCCTTCCAACAGAAGAGCACTTTTTTCTTTTTTCGTCACGATCATCAACCATGAACTGACTCAAAAAGTCTTTGACCGCTTACCCGGGCAGGCAGGACCTTGGCGCCCATGATGTTGCTGACGGATCGCATGAACTCAACCTGAGGGTCTCCCCCCACCACAAACGTTACAGGGCCGTCGATTCCCCTTGCCTAGAGGGTGTTTCGAAAGAGACAGACGCGTGTCGGTCGTGGGGCGACAGGGGAGTGGATGGCATATGACAGGGAATTTGAAGGTTGAATATGCAGAGGAGCGGTCGATATTACAAAGATACAAAACTAGGACAAAGGTATAGTTTTGTTGATAAGATGTAACACCCCCATGGTGGGTTTCTAGAAAAACAAGGCATATGGCAGAGAGGGCATTGAGAAAGCATCACACGCGACCAAGCGAAGCACACCCGAAATCGTTCGTTCCCACCAGCTAGCCCACATGCAAAAAAAAACAAAGGTCGTGATGCGTGGGTGGTCGCTGAGAAGGCCGCTTACCGTGCTGTGTGAAATGTGAACGGGAGAAGCGACCAATTCACACTTAGAGCCTTGTGCCTGGTATGCCTAGTTGTCTTTGATGTCTTTGTTGTTTGTGCTACTTCATAGAACGGGTCCGCAACTATGACATATTCCGTTGACGAGCAGACGCCCAAAGCTTCACGCAAAATACACCACGGTTAGGGTTAAGACACACGGGTATAATAGTTCAGCCGCAGATCCTACACTAAACCTTACCAGTATAAAGAACAACCCTGCCCCGTGCTCGACGGTGGCGACGACGAAACGAAACAAAAAGAAGAGAAACTGGACCCAATTTGACGTTACCCAATTACGGGCTCCTTCTGTACGGTAGGTGCCATTGGGATCACGACGGCCGGCATGACTACACAGGTGTGGTATGAACGTCGTCGCCGTGCAGTGTGCGCCCGTATACATGATCACAGCATGTAGGCTGTGCTGATGCTCCTGGACACTACGGCATTCCGTTCACGTGGTGTTCACGTATCTCTACACGCCGCGGAAGAGTGCCGTTGTTGTCGAGACTGTCAAGGCTGAATGGAATGAGTGACACACAGTACGTTAAAGATTGTATTGTCTGTCTGAATGGGCAACCTCGCGAACAGCACAGCAGGACAGCGCGTTGCACGGACCCCTCAGGTAGCACCACATGAGACATGACCTGACCGGACAGCAGTGGCACTGCTGCATCCGGCGTGAGGGTGTATGTCCTGGGCTATTTCCTCTTCGCAAGAGATGAGGTGTCAAGTCAGACTCGGACCCCAACCTACTCTATGTCTGTCAGTCCGCCAGCTGTCCCTCTCCCCCTCAACCCACACCTCTACTAATCTCGGAACCATATTGCTGAACACACTGGGTGAGCGAACGGAACTTGGCATCTGGGTAGCAAGAGGCCAACCTCAGACGAGAACTAGCAACTTGTTCGACCGTAACACGTCAACAGTATTACCCCTAGTCGAACAGCATCGCACCGCTGTTGATTGTATTTTTGTTGCCCACTGCACGGCCACCTAGTACAGCAGTGCTCGTCTTTAGCTTCTGACACATGCAAGTCAGCAGTACTCTTTTCTCGCGCATGTCTAAGGAACAGTGGCATCACCAGCGCACCGATACGAGCACAGCAGTTCGGAGTGGGGCTCGAGCTCACCTTGATGGTCTTGATCATGGCGGACGTCTTGAAACCGTCGCTCTTGAGGTCGTCCACGACCTTCAGCTGCCCTTCCCGAAGTCGTGCGGACAGTGCCACCTACATCATTTTCATGGTCATACACAACATGAACCCATCCACAAAACACGAAGGAAGCAGTAATGGGGGGGGGGTGAGGGAGTCGGCTGACCGTAAAACCGCAGGTCGACCATGAAACACTGGGGGAGCAATGCTACTCGTCGTTTTCATGCTCCACGGAATCCGGTCGCCCCTGGTGGTCTAGGTGGTACAGTACCATGGTAGGGTATGCTATCTTCGAATACCATGGAGACGTGCTTATTCTCTACTTGGACAAGCAACTCAGAGGAATTGTTGTCTGCATGGCCTCTTTCACGCGCGCCCCCTGAAACGGAGCTTTTCGCATGTTTCCTACAGTACTGTAGGGTGGTAAGGATTGGAGTGACGCCTACAAAAGGTAGGAACAAAAGGAGAAATATGGCCGCGACATACAGAACTTTATCCGACAAAATGCCCTACATAGCAACTTGTTAGCGATAGTGGTGTGGGTGTTCGTGTGTGGGTGTTCGTGGACATTTCCAGCAATTCGTCTGATGTAAGCCAAAACAAACGGCATGGTCATTGGAACTACAGCTGTTGAAAACGTCGCGATGCTGGAAGGGGGTGACGCCTACAAAAATACCTCCCTTGTTGGAGGGATGCCTCATGTGCGCAAAACCATGCATTTCGCACGGGGTACCGTATCGTACGGACAACATTAACCCCACCAAGGACCCGGAACGGTCTTTCTACTGCACCGTGTCGCCAGGTATTGAAAGGACAAAAGCGTGGTCGGCACTCGCCTCTCTTTACGGTTCTCAGATACGCCGAAGCATACTATACGCTGGGGACCACGGAAACAACAAACAAGCACCCTTTTGCCGCGTAACTCGCCCTGAAACCAAGCCTGACGAATTAATACTAATACAGTGAAAAACAGATTTTATACTGCTAATTCCTCGAACACCGATTGCTATTCAGGTGTACCCAGATGCGTTGGACAAAAACTTACAAACTCGTAATTCCCTTCAACCTTACCCGCAAACCAAGCCTGACGACCTCCTTGGTGAGCTTGAAGGATTTACCATGCTACAACCACAACACGCCAAACAAAATCCACCTCCCTCCCTCCCTCCCTCCCTCGCTTACCCTCAAGCCAAGCCTGACGAACTTCTTGTTGAGCTTGAAGGAAAAGTCCCGCCTCCTCGGACCGTGAGCCTTGGCGCCTCCCCGCCAGTGGGGTGGACGGCTGTGACCCGCGCGGGCGACGCCTCCCCCCTTCTGAGGCCTAACCTTTCGCCCGGACCCGCTGATCTCCCCTATCCTCTTGGTCTGAAGATTGGGCAGTCGGCGGAGATTTCCGGAGATTTCGGCGGCGGAAGAGAGAGGGCATCAGTGAGGGCGAGAAAGCAGCGTGTTGGTTTGGGGTGGGGGTGACATCGGTGCCAGGAAAGACAAAACAGGCCATGGAGGAAAGCGAGGTGATTCATGCTCCACGGGTATGTAGGGGGCGATCGCGCATCCTACCGCACAGTACCCAACGAAGGCTCATCTGTCCGTCATGTTCCGAACGTATTATTCTGACAAAAGTTTGGCGCCGAACGTATCTGACATATGTTTACCAAGCCGCGATCGTTGTAGATATAGCTGAGCTCCGACATAAGAGAGACCTCACCAGCGACCGATGCAGCACAATGCTAGTCGCATGCACCAACGAAAGTGCTGTGCAGAGCACAGCAGCCGCAAACGAAACGGGCCAGAGAGCAATCTTCCGTATAACGACATCAAGACGCGTGTACAGCGGTATAAGTTTTGAACACTGTCCTCATAGCCACGCGAACCTTTACCAGATACTCAAGCGCCAAAACCACAGCCAAGGCTAAACAACTAATACGACCGAGCCCTAAACGCCACGAAAAAACACACACGACAAACCTGGCCGTTGCCTTTCCTACGGCGCGCAAGCTGCCACCGAACGACTTCGTGCACGACGTCCCTTCGCACGGGCACGCCAAACACGGAAGGCGCCAGCGATACCGTCGCCACAGGAGCGCCGTCAGCCCAGGCCACCACCTCCACCTCAAGATCGTCAGTGGCAGCCAGGCCGGGTATGTCGAGGAGGGCTGCGATGGCGTCGTGGTCCTCTTCCGACAGGGGGTCGGTTTCCTCTTCTTCCTCTTCTTCGTCTCCCGCTTCTGCGTCCTCTGCGTGGGGAAGTGTTGGAGATTTGGAGGGAACAAGCGAACAAACGATGGCAAGACGAAGAGCTTATCGGCATGTGACTTACTAATGCACCAGGCCCTGCCGTTTCAGGAACTAACCATGAGTGCTCTTTGCCTAATTATACTACCGCATGCATCGTCACAACAACTTCCTAAGAAAGAGTCCACCTTCACGCTTGATGTTGGTGGCGAGCTTATACTTGCGATAGCAACAAACGCCTAAACGTAGAATATTTCTCGCTAAAGTCCGACGTCGCGAGGGTTTTGCGGAAGTTATCACTGGCCAAAAGGCACAGACGTTTGACAGGTTGGTCGCAACGCTAACCCCCCGCAACAACAGCTGTGGTGCTTCGCCGCTGGCATACAGTATTTTAGGGCATTGGGCCGGGATAAACACACAGATATGCAGGAGGAAGTCTCTAAGACCGCAAAACCGCAAGGTTTCGCTATTTACGGGCAACTGTGACGCGAATTACGGGTAACCGCAACTGTGGGGATGCTTCGCTAGATGGACAGCAACTGCGACTAATGTACCGTACGATATCGCACCCCCTGACCAATTTTCAAAGCTCGGGTTCTCTGCAACCAAAAAGCTACGGTGCCGAAAATGGTGGGAGGCTTTGGAATCATCTCCTTGAGAGCGTTTCCGAAAAGATATTTGATTGTGGCATCTCTTCGTTGTGTGGAGTAATCGAGCTTTGAAACTCGGTCCAGGGGGTATGGTATCTTATGCAACCTACTACTGTTTATTTGTGGACATGCAGCAGTAGTAAGTCCAGTGACGACCTGGTAACTTTCTCTGTGATTAACAACTGCACCTCTTGAGCTGTGTACTTCGGTTATTCGCACATCACTGTAGGCGGGAGAAGGTAGAGGTATGCAACTATCCGTGTAACGCCTGCCGGCAAACGGCGGTTGGCATGCGAATCACATACCTGTGTGTTGCGGAAGATATCACACCCCCTGGACCGATTTTCGAAACTCGATACCTCGGTACCTCGGCAGGAAAAGCAGTGACGGTGCCGAAAATGGCGGCGTTGGAACCGTCTCGTCGAGAGCTCTACGAAAACGTGTACTTTAGTTTCGGGGTCCTCTTCGTCATGGAGTGGTTGAGCTTTGAAAATCGGTCCAGGGGGTGAGATATCTTACATCATGCAACCTGCGGTACCCTGCGTGTGCAGGGGGTGCGACATGTACAAATCGAAACTTATTCGACATTGGATCGGCAGGACACACAAAACACCACGGGCATAGCAAAGGCAGGAATCACAACCACAAAGGTGCCCCGAAATGCAGCGAAGCACCTACGGAATGCACTAACTGCCGCTCCGTGCACCACATTCACCTTCCGCGTCTCCTCCCTCTCCCGCCGTTGCAGCAGGCCAAGCCTCCACCGCAAGCTTGAGGTTCGAAGGCAGCGGCTCGCTACCGCTTTGCACCGGTGCTACAGGCAGGCCTTCCCGCTCCCACTGAGAAGATTTCAGAGACGACATGGATCGAACCAGCGGGAACTTCATGAATGCTGTCGTCGGCAAGGGACCAACGCGGGGTATCGCCCGTGGCTGTCGCGTAGCACTCGCTGCTGCTGCTGCCGTCCATGATCCGCATGGTCTGACTGATCGGTCCGCGCGTGCTTCGAGGAGGCCGGCAGCGGCCGGAGCATTGCTGTCAGGCGCCCGGCTCGAGCGAGCCGAACGACAGACGGAGCGGGGTAATGAGCGCAACATCCTTTTTTCTGTGTTGCGTGGAGTGGGCTGTGGCTGCTGGAGTTGCGCACTGCACAGCTCAATCAACACTGGGCAGGGATTGAGGCCAGTTCCCAGACCACTTGCAACAGGACCCGCCGCACCAAAAAAAATGCTCTGGGTGGAGGGGGGGGGGGGTGGATCCAAAATAAATACTCCCTAGTATATTTTAAAAAATAACATCCTACAGCTCTACAGCCGCACCACGAGGGCACACACCCTCCACCTCCCACGGTGGGCACACAACCGCGCGCCGACATAACAGGGGTTAGGATGCCTCCGTGCTACTTGCAAGGTGGTTGCAAGGACGAGAATGCCAGCACCGGCGATATCAAGCTGTGTCCCTGCTGCTGCTGCTACACCCACATTGCATACCTCGAGTGTGAGCATCACGACGGCGGCATCGACGAGCGCACCGAAGTTGACACACAACAGCTCTCCCCTATCCCCCGTGACGGTCATGGCTCCTCGAAGCACCACATACCACCAGAGGTTGGTACGCCGACCGAGAATTGCGCGAGGACGGTCGGGTAGGCAAGCGCGGTGGTAGTGCCGGGTGTGCTTCTTCTGCTCTTCTTGTGGTTCAAAGCGACTCTTTTTCTCTCTCTGCCGAAGCTTTCTCTGCGGTGTGACGGCACTCTTTGCCCAAGAAGCGAGAGGCGGGGTCTGAGGTACACTAAAACGTAGCTGCCGCTGGCGCGTCAAAGGGTCAAGTCCAGCTGCCGTTGTTCTCTCCTGGTTCAACGCTAGAAGCCCCGCAGATCTCGGTCCCTTACGACTGAATGCGGTGTTTCTCGCCGTGGAAACAGAGGTTTCAGCCTTTCTGCGACATGACATTGAACACATTAACCTCGCCACTTTTGCCAGAGGCGGCCGTCGACACCATCGCCATCTGGACCAGCTTCCAAGCCAAGAGGTGAGGATGGAACCGACATGGATGTACTTGACCTACAGCAGTATCCCCTAGATTCCTTTTGCGCATGAATGCACAGAGTATGTGAAGGATAGGTGCTGCTCGCGCACCCAGCTCCCTCCACTCTGCTACCCTGTCTCTCGACCCAAGGTCTCAACAACACAACATCTTTTCCCCAGAAACCACCAGTTTCCCAACACGCTATAGCAAATCAGTCGACTGCTTGTCCCCTCGGACTGTACGTCAAGACTGAACGGAGGAAGATTGATCACCTGCTTCGTGATGAATGAGTGGGCCTGCTGGGGATCATGTGGATGACCCACCTCCGGGTGATTCGCAGGGTGTTATTGGTGGTGAGAGGCTGGATTCGATTGAGACACAGTTGTCCCAGCTCACGAGCATAATCAAGACGCTTATTGGGCAACGAGGTGATCAGGTGGAGTCCTCTGTTTCATTTGCTGCTGCGCCCGGAAGCGGCGGAACAGAGTGTGCTGGTGTGCATCAATCGGATGTCACTGGCAGGACTGCGGGAGGTACGGGCAGTAGTGCCCAAGGCCTTGGCATGTCCAGCGTGGGAGTTGGGAGTAGTAGTGTTGCACAGGCTTGAACTCGCACGATACTGCTGTTAACCGTTCTTCTGCTGGTGTCACAAGCTTTGGTTCGGTTGGGATGGGAAGTAGGACTTTAGGTAGCCAGTCTTTCATTCCAGGAATGGGTAGTGGGGCTTTCACTAGTCAGTCTTCCATTCCACCCGCACCTACTGCTTCGAGTAGGTGGTGGGAAAATGTCGCCAGTGGAACCACATTGATTCCTGGGGCCGGCATTACAGAATCAGGAGAAAACTTGGGTAGGAGCCCTTGGAAAGTTCCCAAAGCTCCTGTTTTCGATGGATCAGACGTTGCATACCCGTCATGGTCACAAAACTTTCTGCTAAGTGCCCGACACAACAACTTGTTAGAAGCATTTACTTCTGAATTGGAAATTCCGATCGCAAGCATTGAATTCGACTTGACCCCTTGGGTAGACAAAGGATATAGTGTGGGAGTGCTACGCCAGGCAGATATGGGATGGTGTTTTTTTTTGAAAGAAGGACTCGCTTAAAACCATGGCTAGGCATGCAGGTTCCCCCAGCAAGGCATTTCAGGTGTTGAAGGATCACTTTCTCCCTTTGAGCCAGAGTCAGATTCGTGTGCAGGAGGACAAACTGAAGTCATTGCGCTTGTGTACAAACGAGAACCCATCCACCTTCTTTGCATCCATGAGAGAGACGCTTGGTGTTTTGCAGATGCTGGAAGTCAAGAAGGAGGACAGGGAGGTGTGCACACTGATGCTAGAGGGACTATCCCACGAATACAAGACTTTGCGTGAGACTCTTGAAGTGTTTCGCCCGAACGATCCTGCTTTCATCGAGACCAAAGTACGTGAGCGTTACCTAGACTTGCAGACACAGACTGGTACGAAGAAGCACAGTGTAGCTCTTGTGTCTAGGGCAGAGAGGAAGAGTAGCCCGAAGCCGAACCACGCAAAGTCGAAGTCTCGCCCTGAATCTGATTCCTCCAAGAAGAAAAAGTTTCAGGGAACGTGTTTCAAGTGTGGGGAGAAAGGTCATATGAGGACGGACTGCCTGGCTCGTGTGATCGCTCATCCCTCCCAGACTGGGAAATCAGAGAACGAGGAGGGTGAGACCGGTGAGAAGTTCGACTTGGAGTTGTCTGATTTGTTCTCTGACTCGGAGTTGTCTGAGTTGTCAGAATTGCTGCTGCTGCATCAACAAGACGAATCCCACCGCAAGTCGAGAGAACTGAAATTCCGAAAAATTAGAAAACTGCCCCCAGGAGTATTTTATGATCAGATTAGCAAGTACCTAGAGTTATGTCGAAGTTTGGTATGCGGGCACCGGCACTGCTTTTCATATGACTGACCGTCTCTCTTGCATGAAGAATTTGAAGCCTTGCCACAAGAACGTAAATGGGATTGGTGGTGTGACTTGTGAGGTAGAATTCTCTGGAACCTGTTTGTGAATGCTGACAGCGGGTTTTCCGTAGAGTTGGAGAATGTATTGTACTCTCCCAACTTGGGATACAACCTCTTTTCTCCAAGCTCAGAGTTCGACGGTGAGTCATGGAATTACCTTGGTGGTCCTGATGGTGTGATGACTGCCTTCGATAGACATGTTACTTTTCAGAATTTCGATGGCATGCTCATTTCGACTGCGTATCGTCTAGAAAATAACTCTGTTGGTTCGGTGTTGGCTGCCCTCACTCCTTCAAACGCCAAGCATGAATCTAAGATGGATGTGAACGAGTTTCATAACATTTATGCTCATTCGCATGAGGGATTGCTTCGTACAACTGCAAAGCGACTAGGTATCGAGTTGACCGGTAAAATGCATGCTTGTACGGGATGTTCGATGTCGAAGGCATTCAAGAACGGGATTGCTCATGAAACAAAAGACAAAAAGTTGGGCAGAGTTTTTGTTGACCTGGAAGGGCGGAAGAACGTTGCGGCCGTAGGGGGTAAACGTTACCCCATGATAGTGAAGGATGATTTCACAAGACGTACATGGATGTGTTTCTTGAAAAGCAAATCAGACGCTGCGAGTGCTTTCCGGAGTTTCCGTGCAAGTGTGCGTGCTGATGGTATCCCATCATTGGTTGAGATTGTTAGATCTGACAATGGGGGGGAGTTTTTCGGAGGAGAATTTGAGTCCGTGTGCAACGAGCTCTTGATTAAGCAAGAGTTCACCCCGGCTTACGGTCCCCAATACAACGGTGTTGCAGAGCGTGGTCTGGGATTGATTGAGGCGGCGGCAATGGCTGCTCGTATTCAGGCAAAAGCTTTGTTTGGGCATGTGCAATTACCTAAGACTGATAGACTATGGGCTAAGGCGATGCATTGGGCTTTCGAAGCAATGAACCACACAGCTTGTTCCGCTATCCCCGACAGTAAGTCACCGTATGAGATGTGGCATGGTGAAGCTATTCATGCTAGACCGTATCCGTTTTTGAAACCGGCGTACTGTAGGTGGCAGCGTCCGTCTAAGCTGCTACCGAAGGGTGAGGCTTGCTTTTATGTCGGTCCTTCGAGAGACCACCCGCGTGACTGTCATAGAGTACTTACGAGGGCTGGAACTATTCAGGAAACGAGGAATGTGACATGGGAAGCGTTGCCGCCACAAATCCCTCCACCGCAACCGTCTCTCTTGCCGATAGAGGTTGCAGAGCAGGGAGGGGAGGAACGTGACTACGATGTAGAAGCTGAGGTATGGCCGCTTTTAGGGAGAGGAGTTCCCCACATTCTTTTGCGACGTGATGTAACGGTCTCTGGTGGAGCAATCGATGAGGTTGGCAGTGTTGATGCAGGCAGTGTAGGTCAACCCCCCTCTATGCCATCTTCGCCCGCGATTAATTCCCCTAGTAACGCAGCTCCCCCTGTGTCTTCTCCAGCAGACGAGTTCACCGATGAGGGAGGGCAGGGAGGGCCGGAGACAGGGCAGACAGAATCGACGGGTCCGGGAGGGCAGGAGGTAGAGTCGGAGAGTCAGGAAGGGTTGGATGAAGAGTTGGTTGAGCCGGGAGGGCAGGAGGTACAATCGGAGACATTTCCCCCTGCTACGCACGTACCATCCAATCGTCGTGCGCGGCATGAGCTTGCTAGTTACAACACTGCTGTGAATGATAATGTTGAAGTCAGAGAAGGCAGAACCCGTGCGCAAACTCGGGCAGTAAATCAGCAGAGCGTACCCGGCCTCATGGCCACTCTAGGACCCATCTCCGCATCAGAAGTAATACTGGCACTCTTAGTGGAACAGAGAGCATCTGATGCAATGGAATTGCCGAAAGTGCTAATTCATGTAGAGTCAGAACCGGGTAGCTATCAAGAAGCCCGCCAATCAAAGTATTCCACGATTTGGGACAAAGCCATGTCTGTAGAATTTGAAGGCTTGTTGAGAGCAGGAACGTTCGCGTTAGCAGTAAAGGCTCCAATAGGCTGTAACGTGATAGATGCTAGATGGGTCTACAAATGGAAAGCAGATGAAACAGGCAAGATAGTGAAGGCCAAGGCTAGGCTTGTAGGGAAGGGCTTCAAGCAGAAGCATGGTGTGGATTATCTTGAGACTTTCTCGCCTAC